GACTCAAGTGCCAGACACAGGCAGGACAGAGAGCAGTGGAGTGCAGTTTGAGATTCTTCATTCACTTTGAGAACTTGAACATGAATTAACTTAGGAGAGATCTGTGAGAGGAGATTACAAGTTAGACTGGGCAGAGAATCCAGGAGATGTGTTAGGTAATATTATCCAGAGGATTATCACGAGAACACCTTTACTTGAGATCCAAGCTAGTGGGGAAGGGGAGGATGCCAGAAAACCTTGAATCCACGAGGCAGCTGATGGTGGGTGGACAGGCAGGTGAGCATGGGAAGGCACTGAAGAGCAGCGACAATATTCACTTGGCCTGCTTCTTCAGTTCCCTTCATTTGGCTGCTGTCTCCTGGATCTTCTGACCCTCCAGAGCAAGCCTTGCCATCACTTGAGCCATTCACAGGTGAGCTAGGGCACATGTCCACAATGTATGCATGTTTTTAAGCAGTTACAGAAAACAAATGCCACTGACTTTGGTCATACATCAGATTTTTATTGTTAATAGTTTTTTTAGAGGATCATGTTCAAACACTGTCTCAGATATCAATGCAGCATTTTATGACCGAACCAATGAAAGAGTGAGCTGTGAGTAGGAGAACGCTGTGAAGCAGAAGCTCCGCCCTCTGGGAGTCATTCCGAATAACAGTTAGTAGTTGAGCCCCGGTAACCAAACCGAACGCTCCTCCTGCTGGTTCGTCTAAATTTTCGCTTCTTTGTTCTTTTTGTGTCTGGTCTAAACCGTTCGACACGGCTCAGTGTGGAGAGAGCGAAAGAAGAGCGCTTACCTCGAAAAGTTTGCTTTGACGAGAAAGAGCGGGTCCAGTTCTACTGCGGATTGACGGCGAGGTCTTTAACTTAAAGCAGCTCCAAACAAACCTAGAAAACTAGTGAGGTCTTTGCAAAGGGCGCAGTGGATGAGCAGCTCCTCTGTCATATTTCAAAGTTTGTTAGACAGCAGCAGACTGTAAAAGTATTCAGCATTACATAAAAGACGCAAAAAAGGCATGAATCCTTAATGAGAACTCCGGGGAGTGAGCAGACTCTCCAGACTTGTGCACTGCGCAATAAAGTGGGACTGAGTTCCAGGCAGAAAGCTGGAGAGCAAGACGTATATGGACTGATTGGCTGTGTGCACGCTGCCCTGGTGTGATGCTCATTTGGTTCTGTTTGAGTGAAAATGAAACTTTGGGACAGTTTGTCCCACTGGACCCGAATTTGGGACAGTTTAACGGCTTTTGCGGTCAAGCTTTAGCCGTGGACATTTTTTTTCTTCCTCAAACAAGAGGCAGTTGATGTCATCGCATATCAATGTGAAATGGATTATTATCAGTTTGTTTTCTTGGAAATAAATTCAGTTAAAGCTTTGAGAGCGGAAATATGAAGCCGGTGAATATTGAGTATTGATCTTACGTGGATATAAAGTGCACAAATTCTCTTTGCTTTTCCTTGAAAACCCTGGTTCGGGGAATTCTCTCTGCGGGTCACAGTGCGCTCAGAGCTCAAAGAAGAGACGCGGATGTTCGCTGGGGCGCAGCGTGCAGCGCCGCTGCACATGGAGCGCTCGGGGCGGCCGCCGCTGATGTTGCTCGGTCTGCTACTCCAAATCTGTTCCGCCGTTACCACTGATCGCATCAACTCCGACCGGTACGCGGTCTACTGGAACAGCTCCAACCCTAGGTAAGACCCAGACTGGGCTTTTACACAGAGTGGGTATTGAGTAGAACACGGGAAGTGCCAGAAATCATCATTAAAGGAGGGAAAATAAATGGGACTCAATATTATAATGATCCTTTGCGCAGTCGGTGGACATAGTTTGTAAAAACAAACAAACAAACAAACAAACAAAACAAAACACTTATTTATACCAAATGTTAGCTTTGTTAATGAAAGCGAGTAGCAGCAACATGGCAGTGCGGCATGTTGAACTGTCCGAGGTCACACAGCCAGAAAGTGAGTCCATTTTCCGCGTCTGAAAACTTTCTAGGGCTGTAACAGAAACGTTTGTCAAAAGGGAGCAAAAACGGTTAGAATCGTAAAATTTATCTCAAACAAATGACACTGTTCACGAGATCAAGATTTTTAATAAATAAACCACAGGTGCGCTTTCAACATCCATAGGCTACTGCCATCATCCAACATCCATTCTTAGTCTTCTGACAGAGAGCACAATGCCAAATGAGCTACATAAAATATATATCAAATAATTCGTGTATGCCGAGAGTGAAGGCTGAGCTGATAAACTAAAGGAATTTTGTAGAAAGTGCACTTGTAATTTCTAACGACTGTCCATGGAGCTTAATATAAATTTTGTTGCCGCAATGTCAGCAACATCAAAGAAAAAACGTAAAAAAAAAAATGCCAGTGAAAGCTATTCTCGGTTCAAGGGGTCTCTAAATTTCCTTATTTTTGTTTTTTTTTTTTCAATATTTAGTTTACAGAGGAATCAAACCATTTGAATCTGCAATAACAAGATGTGTTCTGTGTTCTGCTGAGTAATCAGCAGCTGTTTTGTTAATGGTGATCTTTTCTTCTGCAGGATTATACAGACCTCTTACATCTCTGTCGCTTTTCAGCAGTTTGTTGGACAACATATCTGAACATATGAAATGCTTTAAACATTTTCTGACATTTATTAACAGCATGATTCATGATAATTGTTGTCGGTATAACTTTTTTTCAATCAGTCATTCCTCAATGAAAAACAAGACAAGAGAAACAAGAGAATCCACTGCAGCTTTGCAGTTGACAAGTTAAAGTTGACAACTTGTAATCCAAATATTGGATTACAGTAAACATGATAACCAAAAAACTGAAATTTTGGTCAGAATTTTGTTTTAAAGATGTGAGTAATGATAGGGGGTAATGATAGACTTATAAAAGTCTGCCTGTGTCAAAAACAATTTTGATCTAAATACAAGTCTAAATAATCACAGTTTCTGTCTTCAGCTCCTTTGATGTTTTTGCTTTCACACACGAAATTACATGTGAACTCAAATCTTAATGTGCTTTGCACTGATGGTTGTACAAAAATTACATTTGGGGAAAGTAAATTTGTTATATAATTTAAAGTTTTGAAAAAAAAATGGACTGAATAACTTAAAATGAAAGTTGCAGACAGTGAAATGTCTTTCTCTGAGAAAGGTCACATAACCCTAATGTTAGAAATAACTGCAGCTACCGCAAAATACAGACAAAGAAAAGAAACAGACATCCTAAATGAATGTGTTAAATGTCCAGATTGGTAAAACTGACCCTGATGTGACTAACTGTGGAATCATTTCTCAAGTTGTTTTTCAGTAACATTTTCAAGACTTAGGTGTATTATGTGCCTGGCAGCAGAGCATTGATGACTGTCCATTCTGTCTTCTGATTGGCTAAATGGTATCTGAACAAAGCAATAGCAACGTGCGGTGTTTGCAAATCATTGTAATATTTTAGGGATTTATTATTTTCATTTTGAGGTGTAAGAGAAAGCAAAATGTTCAGATTTTACTTTTGTAAATTAAAAAATGAAGAGTTTAAGAGATGCTGAACAGAAATGTTATTGACGAGGAAACATGTCTCACATTTCAGTTCTCAAAGAGAGCCTGTAGCAGGAAAAGCTCTTAGATTCCAGCCTCATAACATGTTTCCATATGCACATGCTGTTTGCATCTGGAGGACTATATCTCAGGTTTCCAAGTGCATGATCTGCGCTTTAGTGTCCTTATAGTATTCCTCTAATAATTGAGGAGTAATTTTCCAGTTTGGCCAGTTTATTATAATTTATGCTTTCACTTGAATACCAAAATATTTTAACTGATTCCTTTAATTTGAAAGGTCTGAAAGCGTACAGTTCTGTGAATTTAACTTTGATCTAAATATCACTTAAACAGTTGAGGTGTAACAGTAAACATGATACCTGGGAGACAAGGTTGGCCAATGACAATATGGCGTGCTCACACTGCAGAGAAAGATTTCAGTGACGATGGAAAATTACAGAACCAAACGCTTCTTTCTTTGTAGAAGGGAATTTATTACATGTACAAATATGTGCACTTTTCCCACACGTTCCAGATGTGATTGAAATTTTGCCAGAGTTGATGCTCTGGCATGTTTTGGGAAATCGCAGCTTTGCTGAGCCAAAAATGACATCAAGGCTTTTGTTCAGTTTTTTGAAAAGACATCCCCAAAAGTTCCACATCTTGGGGGGAAGAATCTGAAAATGTTTGAGAAATTTCCACAATTTTATAGGAAAAAATAAGAAAATATTGCACAGCATTTCCTCCGTTGGCTCTTTTTGGTCATTAATAACGAAGTGTTTTCATCTCCCAATATCATTCCTTATCAAACTTTTAGTTTTTTAGAAGATTAAATCATATTTTCTGTTCTTCCAGAAAATCTAACATTAATTTGCTAAGATAATCAGAGGAACATGTGTGCTAACATTTGTACTAGTAATTTATTAACAGTTCACGTTATTAATCTCCTTTTTGGTTTTTCTTTCAATTAATTTTTTGTAAATTAATAATCATCAAAACAATAAATGTCCAGTGCAACCTTGTTGATGTCTTTTCATCCATTCACAATTCCAAAATCACAAATATTCAGTTTACAATTACATGACACAAAGACAGGAGAACAAAGAAAAACAGGAAATTGTGTCATCTGAGAGGCTGGATTACTACAATATTCAGTCTTTACTGGCTGAAAACCGATCGAAATAATCAGATACTTTTTTGTCAACTGATAAGTAAAATAAAATAACACTTGACGAAAGTCCCGTGGTGTAATTAGTATGCAACACGAACGCTAAAACAAAAGTGGACGTCGAGGCGACGACATACCTGCTGCTCAGTCTGTGACTTTTTGTCAGACTTGGGGACAACTGTGGGCTTTTTGTAGTCATTTCCCTCAATGCCGAGTTTCAAAAATGTCATTTCACTTCAGCTCTCATGACTCATCGTGACGCTACTGATCAGTTGGTGGCATGCAGTCTGACGACGTCACATTTATTATCTACCTTCAGACCTGGATGACCTCAAATTCCCTGCTTCTAAATTCAGAAAAAACTGAGAATATTGTACTTGGGCCTTAAACATGTTATCTAACTAGATACGGACTTTAAGTGAGATTACTTTGGCCTCCAGTAACACTGAGGAATCTTGGAGTCATTTCATGTATTATCATGAAGATATGTCCTCTAGCTGACCAAGCGACTATTTTTTTTAACCACTCACAACCAGCCAAGGGAATGTTCATTTTTCTTTGGCAAGCAACAGTTGCCAATTGGCCTCTATGCCTGTGTGACAGAGGCCTAAGTTCAGAATCAGAAATGGAGCATGTGGAGTGAATGGACGACCAACTCTGACAGGGTGCTTAGATCACAAAAAAACCCCAAAAAAAACCCCACATATGTGACCTTCTTGAATAAACCGGTACACTGTGCAACCTTTACAGGCTACATAACAAATTTAAGAATAAAGAACCTGCTTTAAATGGCATCATGATACAGTTTGCATAATTACAACCATACACTCACTATGGAATTAGTAAGTGAGGGCAGCTATGAAGAGAAGTGGAAAGACAGTTGGTCCAGATGAAATACCTGTGATGTGAAGAGCTCTAGGAAAGAGGGCATTTGGCTTTTTAACTAGATTAAGACAGTCCAGGAGAGTGAGAGGATCCCTGACAAATGTATTGCTATAGAGTTTCAGAACAAGGATGATGTGAAGAGCTATAGTAACTACAGATGCATAAAGCAACTTGGAGTTAGTATCTTTTCCAAGGATATTTGGCATGCAGGGATCAAACCACCAACCTTCCTGTTAGTAGATGACCTGCTCTACCTCCTCAGTTACAGAGAGGTGACTGTCGTATAGTTTCATGTGGCGAGAGAACAAGAACTGTGGCCGACTACTTGTGTTTAAATAGTGTCTATATGACATGAGGGGTACTTCTGAAAGTCTGACCTGTGAAGGATCATAAGCTCCAAAAATAATGTCACTGTCAATCATGCTAGTTACCTCGATTGCTGTAGAAGCACTAAAATACTGAACCATTAACTTGAGATGCAGTAACTTATTGGCAATGTGGGTCTTTAAACATTTCTTTAACAAATGTAAAGTTGTAAAAATGTATCAGTACACGCTTTTTCAACAACAGTATTCAGCTGATGAGGTACAGTCACCAGGATCCCCAAAGCTCATCAATAACACCCATGCTGCCTATGTTTATTATTATAAAAATATTACAAATAAAGGCAATTATTATTAATATGAGGTGTTTAGTACAATCAGTATTATAAATTAAGATATGTTAAAAGAGGAAAAATGAATAATCTCAAGATTAATCCATTAACGTTGTTGCTGGATAAGACAAGAGACAAGCTCCTTTTGTTAAACATAAAATATAACTGCTTTGAAACTTTAGATGCTTAGAAGTTCAACCTGACTTAATAGTTGTAATTTTTGGTCTGTTGTGTTCTCAGCTCACTGAATCATTTTGTGTAGATTTTCTGCAGTTTTCTGTAACCACACTCTCACCTCATACTGATGTGAATAGACGATATGGCCTAAAATCCATATCACGGTATAATTTGAAGCATGTGTGGTAACGATATATATTGCAATATATTTTCTTCTGTATAACGTATTTTACACACTATAAGGCACACTTAAAATCCTATAATTTTCTCA